CTTTTGTTCCATGCTGAATTGGCTAAAATACTTTTTCATGGTAAACCTGAAGGCACGGATTCTTAGGCTGGAATATGCTGCTATTTTTCTTGTGTCCATGAAAAGCTGAGAAAGTGTTGGTAAAAGGCGGTAAAAGAAATTATTCATATTAAACCAATTTTATAAGCACGGTTAAAACTATAATACACAGCCAAAAACTGATATATATGTATATTAAAGCATTTAGGATTGATGAGACATTTTAACTAGGTTTACTTTGCAAGCATTTTGAAGCAAGTTTCTAGATAAGTCTGCTCTGAGACTGAAATCTCCCCCAGGTTAAAGTGGATCTTATTAGTTATTTTTCTTTGAAGGAGAACAACATGGTAAACGAGCGATGTCATATGGATTCGATAGATAAGTGATGTCTTCTGGATTTTTTTACACACAATCAGAAAATTAATTCTGCATTTAGACCATGCAAGCTTATTTCAAAGATTTGAGGTTTACCTCCTATTTTAATCTCTAATACATGTGACATTTTGCAAACCTGTATGTGGTGAAGGTAACTAATGGTATATCTATGCAGACGGCAGAGGAGTGATTGCACTCCCTGTTGTAGACATACCCAAGTCAGTTTTAAATTAGCTGATTGGTTTGTATGCTGATAGGAGTCTAACCACTCTGCCAAAGGCTTAAGTGTGGGCCGGGTAAATATTCAACAGCTGAATTTGTGCCACAAGGGCTACACTGTTGTTGGTACCTGAACTAGTAAGTTTAGAGACCTGATTTAACTTAACATGAGATGCAATCACAGTTTTGGATTATACACAACACTTTCAAAGCCATTGTTATCAAATCATATGGCGAGTGAATTTCACTTGGTCCTGTCCAAAGACTAGATAAACTGGTTTGATGCAGACATGTAGTTGTGGATATTATAGGACCCTCAGTGCACCCATTTTTACAGTTGATGCAGTCTTAGCTGCTTCCTGTCTCCTATTTCTGGATTCCTAGGTCCACATCAGATTGGTTTCTTCTGTCAGTTATCTTTACCCATGGTGTTCTCTGTGCCAGCCAGTTTGAATCCAGAGCACATCCACATATAGCATATGAGGCTGCAAATTTCTTTATTCCCATTAATGTACAGCTTTACTGTCAGTCATTTGTGTCCTGCTGGTTCTAGATACCATTTCATGTACCCTCTGTGCACTGTCTGTGCATGGGTGATTTTTGCACAGTGTGTGATATTTTTGCTGTATTGACAAGTACTAAGTTTGGGAGTTCAGTTGAGATGCATGTTCTGTGCTTCAAACATTTCAATGAACATCTAAATCCTCTGGTGCAGAGTAGGGGAGAAACGCTTACAGTTGCTGGCTGTTACTTCTGAAGGATGGTAACACCTGTGGTCCTCCATCCTTTTAGGTGCCCATTAACATGGGTGCTTTCTCCCTTAGTCTCTTGAATTGATCGTGAATATATTCTGTAGGTTGGGCATCTAGTAATATTTGATATAGTGTTAGTAATGACGGCACAGGTTGGCTGATGAGGGGGAAGGAGGTAGGAAAGGTGGAGGGGAAGTGGTAAAGTAGTTTATAGCTCATACAGTTTGCTGGTATTGATTTGCTTAAATTGAACTCTTGAGGGTGGGGACTCAGAATATACAGACCCTGAGCATTATATTATGGGTGATGTCTGAGAAGGTAGATTACCCAGAAATAAATGCATACAGAGTGTTTGCTACATTAAATCTCTAATTCAGTTATAAATAGAAGCACAGTTGTGAACAATATCGTGGGACCTTGTTGCACATTTAATTGTAGATTGCTTCTGGAGCTCTATACCTTTGGATTGTCCACACATTAACACCTGAAACTAGTTCTAAGCATATTTTAGGCAGCTTAAAGTTATGCTACTCCAGGGCAGGTTTATTTCTGATCCATGTTAGGTTGTGTTCCATTAATGTGTAGCCACTCCCCAGAGTTGAGTCACCCAAGTTGCAGCCCTCCAGCATCCCAGGATGCAGTGTCCCCTCCCCTCGCATCCTGTTCTGTGTGGACAAACTTTCCACACCCTCAACTTTATTGCCCAAAGGGACAGATCTGGCACCAAGTCAACTTCCCTTCCCACTGAGGGTGTGACCTTCCTACCTGCAGGGGTGCAACCCCATGTAAACAGCCTACAGAGCACATGCCAGCTAGCCAGGTCACAGGACACAGATGGGTCCAGGAGGGGGATCTAGAGGAGGTTGTGGGGGGAACATGGTAGGAGGCTGGATTGGGTCCCCCTGAGCTGGGGCTTCCTTCCCAGGACAGGGGCAGTAGCTCCCCCAAAAGAGCCTTCCAATACTTCTCCCACCTCCCAGCCATCCCAGGAAGCATGATAAGCACCCCCCCACCAAGTGTGCACCCCCCCCATCCCAATTTATGAAAACATGGAACCTTCTTTAATTTACTACTTCATTTCATTTTAAACTTTTTTTTTTACTTCTTTATTTTATTCTTCAGTGGCTGGCTTCATTTCACCACCCTTCCCCCACTCCCATTTCCTTTCCACCTCCCATTTCATTACCCACCCCCATCCCATTAACTCTCTGCCTTTCAGCTTCATGTTCCTGTCCACCCCAACCTCTCCCCTCCCACCCCCAACTAGGGCAGGGATAGAAGCCTGTCCTGGCTCACCAGCCCTGTAGTTACAACTCACAGCTGTAGCTCCTAGTTAGGCCCCTGCTTGTGAGCCCTCTAACAGCAAGTCACAGCTGTGCAGGTCGGGACAGTCGGAGAACATTTTTAGCCTTAAGGTGTGACTGCTCCAAACGTGAGCTAGAACTAACACCAATCAACATCTGAGCAGCTCAAAGTGCAACGTGTAGCGAGTTCCTCGCATCATATCTCATTACACCCATGAGGGTACAATGTTAGGGTTGAGAATTGAAGTGCAAAAGGCAGATATTAAGTTTAAAGTCATGATACCCATAGCAGCAATTTACATGGCCAGATTGCACAAACACAGTACACTGAAGGGACCCAGTCAATCCAAATGATCATTCTTCCTTCAGGAAGCTGTTGACTTTTGTTAAAAAATAACACCTACGATAACTGTCAGGCGACTGTCGTATGAAGGCTTTTTTTTGCTTGCTTCCGTGTTTTTTTTCAGGGTGCTATGGCCCTCGGGTGCTGCCCTATCTGTTGAAGGGTGTTGTGAGGCGATATGTGAGTTTTTAGGAGACGCAGATAAGCACTGGCTCAGGCCTGTTCCTGTCTATGTGATCCCGCATCCCCACTTCCAAGGCTCTCTGCAAGGAAGCAAGCTCTATAATCATTAAATTAGTTTTTGAAATTGGGTGCCATTCATATCACTAAAGTTAGGAGGGGTGCCTCAAATCCAAAAAGGTTGAAAACCACAGGTTTACTTTATACATCACACAATGCATTGCTGTTTTCTTTCATTTCCTGCTGTATGGGGTCAGTTCCTCTGTTCCATTAGAAGCATTCTTTTTAAATTTTACAGGCCCCTGCTACACATTAAATATATCACACAATTCACTGGTGACTAACTCTATAGCTGGTTTCTATCCAGCTTGAATTTAAACGTGTAGTGGCCACTACACAGACCTTTCTAAGGAGTACTTCAAAAGGAAATGCAAACTTACATCTTGCAACCTTACAGAGTGAGAGGGTAAGGGGAAAAGTCTCTGTGCTCAAATCTTGTGGAGTACGGTCAAGCGCTAGGACTAACATGTAACAATAAAAGCTTTGAGCTAAATCAGTAATTTACTATGTGCTGCATTTGCAAGCAGGGGAATCTTTGGTCCTGAGGAAACATAGTAGCAGCTTCCTTTCTAAATTAGGTAGATAAGCCAATTCTGGGGAGCTGGGGAAATGGAGTATTGTAATGGACAAGTTTTGCAGTCTGAAACAGTAAAGGGAATGTCTTCTATTCAGTTTATCAACTGACTTCTTAAGTCCATTGGCTTTATATCATATGGTGTTCTCATTTTAGAAACAAAACCTATTGAATGTCCTTTTCATCAAAAGGCTTATTATTTGCTGTTCCTGTATTACTTTAAATTGAGTATTACCATATAAACTGTGAAATCAAAAATGAGATTCCTTTCTTTACTGTTTTTTTAGTGTTTTGAATTAATAATATTTAGTATGTTGTACTGTTTCACATTAACTACTAAGCAAGCAAAGAAAATTAAACATCTTTCTGTCAAGCTATCTATTTCTTTGTTGTATATGTGGAGAGCCATGGACTTAAGGATGGTTTGTTTCTGTTGCTACAGGCCAATGTGTATACAGTTCAGGGTTGGAAAACTTCTGTTTCTTAAAACATTTCTAATTTTTTACATTAATGATTTTTTACTTTGCTATGCGTACTAGGGATTCATGCAGTTTGACGTTCACTTGTATCAAGTGATCCTTTTCTTATCAGTTTTCTGGTTTTATTCCAGTTTTGGTCCCCAGATTTTTATTTTCAGTGATATGGTCTAGCCTTACACAAAAAGGGAGGAGTACTGTAAATAAACCTTGTTTAGTATACTCCTGTCATTCAGATTTTATTAAGATTTTTAAAGGCATTGAAATACTGCATATTTTATTGGAATTTTATTTTTATTTTATTTTAAAGTATGCCCTATTGTTACATTTTAAAGTATGTAAACAGTTTTAAAGTATGCCCTATTGTTACATTTGAGAAATTTAGGGACATTTTTAACAACAAACATTTGTTTCTGTAAATGGATTTGAAGTCATAATTCATCACAAATGAAAATATGTAATTTTGTAATCCTAACAAAATGAGTTGCTGGCTGATTTTTATAAAACCAGAATGTTAAATTCCCTGGGCTTTCCCCCTTATGCTTTCATGTACTTCTATTCCAGTTGGGGGAATACTAGAATATAAAACTGTAAAATAATGTTTATGTATTAACAGTTTATTTATAAAGATGAATACATTTAGGCTTTATAAGCTGTGCTTCATTACATTTTAATGTGCTTGATGCATTTTTTTTCCAGAAACTCTAGAAAGGAACTTAATGACATACGATTTGAGTTTACTCCAGGCAGAGGTAAGGCTTTTCTTTAATTGAAATTATTCTTATATTGCTCAAACGGGTATTTCAAAAATTGATTACTGTTTATAGTTAATATAAATTACCACTCTGAAGTGTTTTCTCTGCTGCTACTTAACTCAAACAAAAATTGTGCAGAGTATGTAAATTTTAGTAACAAAGCTGTATAGTATACAGTATATATTATAAGATTGTATATAGATAGAGAAGTATTTGTCAGTTTCAGATGTTCATTTAATGAAAAATTCTGTACGTAGATCGCTTTGAGTGATGCATAAGAATCACAGAGTCAAAAAGCTATGGAATGCACATTTTTATGGTGGAGGAATAAATAAGTGATCATAGTACAAGGTTTGGAAAACAGAATATAATATCCTGAAAGCATGTGAAGTTATGGTTTGAAAAATGACTATAAAGATGTCATTGTAGGGTTCTGCATTTGAGTCTGACTTCCTTAAAATTTTGCTGAGTTAACAGGTAAGAAGAGTTTCACAAAGCATTTCACAAACTCCATCTTTAACAAGAAAACTTGAATTGTATTTCTGGCTGTATCTTTGTCAGAAACAAAGCTTCTGACATTGGGACTTTAGAATCTAGCTCATTCTTGCAGAGTTGTATTGGTTTTCCAATGCAACCTGGTATAAGAAGCCCTGAAACTTATCTTTGTCTGAAAAGAAAAGCAGATACTACTTGGATATATGACACAGAGGGAGTTGATCTGTTGTATTGCAGTTACATTGCAAGCTGCCTTTTGGGCCATAGCTGCACTTGATATTTCACAGTAGTCCATATTTACTCCATTAAAGACGCTTTTGAAAGTGTTTCTGTCCAAAAATGAATCCAAGTTGGAAAAGCTGTTTTGATAACATAAGCAAGATGTCTTGTCTTTTTTTTTTTTTTTTTTGTACGGTGACTGGGGAGGGGAAGGAGTAGAGGGGCATGTTTGTGTGTATGGATCCAGGTAAACACTAGAGCAGTAGTTCTCAACCTTTTTAGACTCGAGGCATCCCTCAAAAACTCCAGCTCTTCGTTTCACTCATTTTTAGACTACAGAAAAATAACAGTGATTCTTCTATGGCAAAGAACTTAAAAAGACCATAGCAGGGCAGAATGGTTTTAACACTGTGAGTTCCTATTTAAAATCTCTGTGATTCATGTTCTCACACCAACCATTGCTAACATTGTAGGGCATCTGACAACACCCTTAAAAGGCTCTCAAGGCACCCTTGCATGCTATGGTACTCTGGATGAGAATCGTTGTACTAGAGGACAGGATCACATCATCCCAGTATTCTAGTCTGATCCAACCTCCTCCCTTTTATATAAAAGACCCAACATAGCATTGTAATTCTAAGCTTCGAAGTTGGGGCTGACTTAGGCACCATCTCTGCTTCCTCAGCTCTGGCTCTTTACAGCAGCTGAATTCTTTGGAATGAAGCAGCCACACCCAAAAAATAAAAATTGTGAGACCTGAGGACATCTTTTTTAAGGCCAGATTTTGTTAGGTTTGTAGGTGAGTAAAAGCACCTAAGTCCAGCCCTATTCCACTCTGCTCAAGTCCATGAAAAACTTTTAACACAGAAGGTAGGTGAGGTCTTTCACCCATTGGCTGGCTTTTTTTTTTTTTTTTTTTTTTTTGACTCAGTCTTAAGGATAAGATGCATTACAAAAGCAGATGTGATGTGGGGTTTCAGGGACTTGAACAGGGAGCAATAGAATTACACTTAGGTGCGTGTGGTCCATGTAGATTTTCAACAGTGGAACAGAATCTGTCCTTTAATATCTGTCCCACAGCTACCAACATCTCTGGTCTAAAGGACTGTGGATATTGTGACTCTCAAGCTTAAGTGCAAGGACTTGCCTCTCACCTGTCTCTCTGCCCCAAGAATAACAAATCACACAAAACAGGAAAGCTTTAGACAGCACTCATATTGAGTTGAATGGGTCTGAGATAGGGTTGGCAAGCTGGTCAGTTGACCACCTGTTATTTGACCAAGGTCAAATACTGTCACACATATTCCATAAAACCCAGAATTCCCTTGTATAAATGGCTGCCTACCTTCTTTATTGTGTTATGGTGTCATCTGTTATCAAGGGCAAAAGATGAGAGCTCTTTTTCCCCCTGCTATGCAGGATCCACACACACAGAGGCCATTTCGGAGTGGTCACCCACTGCTGTCCTCTCCCTTGAGCATTTCCTTCATCCTTTCCCTTCCCCTCTATTAAAAGGAGCTACTGTGATGAGGGAGGAAACAAACCTAGTGCCATAGAAAAGCTAACTTTTGTCTTTTATGATTGTGATGTGTAGGTTTATTTCTGTTTGATTTCTTTTGTATTGTAGCTGTTGCGCTGACCCTAGGGTTCTGGGATAAAAGCCAAGGAGAGAAGAACTATTCAGTCCTAAATTTGGCAGGTTCTTTGGTTATATGTGATATCTTTTATTAGACCAACTGAGTATTTGGAGAAGTTCTTAACAAGCTTTTGGGTGTAGTCATCTTTCATCAGGCATAGGTAGTCTCTGCTAGTTTGAGACTCCAAGGAATGAGAGAAGCTTCTGTTTCCTTGGAGTCTCAGACCAGCAGAGAGTACCTATGCCTGAAAGATGACTGCACCCAAAAGCTTGTTAAGAACTTCTCCAAATACTCAGCTGGTCTAATAAAAGATATCACATATAACCAAAGAACCTTGCCTGCCTATGTCTTTAGACCAGGAGTGGGCAATTATTTTGGGCGGAGGGCCACTTACTGAGTTTTGGCAAGCCATTGAGGGCCACATGATAGGCAGCCAGGGGCAGATAAATATTAATTTTCTAAAATTTTTAGGGGTCCCGTGGGCCAGATAGAATGGTTTGGCAGGCTGCATCCGGCCCCCAGGCCGCATTTTGCCCACCCCTGCTTTAGACCAACATGGCTACGACCAAAAATTTGGTCCTGAATTTTAAATTTATGCTTACCAACATTGTTGGTTATAATAATTCATACATTTTTTAAAATTTAATTTCACTGTTTCACAATGCCACATTAACTTTAACAAACCTGTTTTTTGTAATTGGCACAAATCGATAAATAATGGATACTCGATCATGATTTAATAATATATGACTGGTCAGTTGACCAAGTATTTTTTCGTTGATCAAATACCAAGCCCTAGTACTGTGGGGTTTGGGAAGAATGTCAGGACACGTGGCAGAAAACCCATCTTTATTTCTTTAAGTAAATACCTAATTAGATATGGAGGAGAAGTCAATGTTCAAGCAATGATCTTTATAGGATTCATAAAGATTCAAATAGTTATCTTGGGTATGTATGCTTGTACAGAGGATGATGGGCTAATTATTAATGGGAAATCATGTTGGGTTTGCTTTTCCTAATGAAGACTGTTTTGAATTCAAACCTACTTCTGTGAATATTTGAAACTGAGAAGTAGGTAGGTATTTTAAATTTCAAACACTTCTTTTGGGGTTTTTTGTTTTTATTTTATGGACATGAATAATTATTCATTTAACCTTTTGGACAGATACGGCAGATGGCGTTTCTCAGGAGCTGTTCTCTGCAGGCCTGGTTGATGGCCACGATGTAGTTATAGGTAAATTACATTTAGCTTACAATTAAACTCTTGCTACATGTGTGTGTTAAATGGATGTACAAAATGTATAATCTGTTTTTTACAAAATCCTTGATTTTCATTTCATTTCATTTTTGTGTGTGTATTTATTTTTATATGCACAAAAGTGTCTGGCCAATTTTGATAGAAATCCAGCCATTGTTTTTTGGATGTTGAAACTCCTGGTGCTTCAACAAAAGTTTTATTTCCTTAATGCACAGCTCCTTCAGTTGCTTACTATGCAGTAATTGATAACTTCTGTGCTAACTTCATGTTTAATTTGTTTAACAGAAATTTGACGTTAGAGAGTTAAGATTTGTAAGTTGGATTTTCCAAAGCAGTTGATATTGGCTTAATTTTGCTCTTACTGAAGATGTTAGCAAATCTCCCATTGAGTTCACAGTGAAGAGAATCAGATTGTGTTCAAGCAAGTCCTAGTAGGGGAAGTTGAATCTTGAGGTTATGCAGTTGCTGAGGAAAAACCTAGTGTCACTTTCCCTGAGCACACTTTGGGCATCTCTTTTGAAAAACTAAACCAGGCAAAATGTGACTGTTTTGGAAAGGCTTCTTTCCTGACGCATTCATTTCAGGAAAAACAAACCCCAAAAAAAGGTTGCAAGAGACAATAGTCCTGTTTTACCAAAATAAAGGAATCATTGAGAATCATAACAAGGGAGACTTGTTCTAGTTGTATTTCATTGCCACTTTGAAATAAATTCACCCTTATGTAATCTGTAGTTTTGCATCAGTAGTGGTCATGTTGATTTTTGCCAGTGCTAGGAAGCTAGAAAGGGTCAATGTTTACCTATTGACAAGACTTTTATTTAACCACTCATGACATTGTGCTTCTGTGAGGAGGGGTTGGATGGCAGAGAGACTACTTCAGGGAATACAAAACTTCTGTCTTCTCAAATCCAGTCCCAGTCTTCTGAGACTGAAAGTCAGACTGGCTGCTTGGCCTCCCTCCAGTATTCAGTAGCATATAGCATGAAAAACTCTACCACCATGGGGGTAACTAACAGCTGTCCTTTTAAGTCCTCCAGAGATGTTAACTAATGAACAAACATGGCAACTGTATTATTTTTTTAACTCCTAAAAATGTTGTGTTTTGGTCAAAGAAGCTTTTGGGGAACTTAGAGAAGTTTGTATCTTAGCAATCTGTGCAGCAGCCATTTCCATGAACAGGCAACTCGTTCGCAATGGCCATTGGTGTCTTCTAATGAGCACTGGGCCCTGTAAAATAGTGTTGCATGGACACTGCTTTCTCCAGAAGGTGTTGTTAGTAGATGTTTTTGTGAGGGAATAGAGATGTTGAAAAGGTTCGGAAAGCCATCCTTGCTCAGCATGCTTTCAAGCAGACACACTGGAAATGGAAATTTTCCCCCAGTTTAAATTTGCTGTGTAAAATTGGCAACTAGTTCCTCTTACACTGGGCGTACTGGGCACTCACAGATACTGAGTGGTCAGTTCTCTTCAGATTTGAGTAGTATGAACTAACTGTTTGATTGCAAGAGAGTTGTATCTCTCAAACTAACAGTTTGATGCAAGGTTCTGTTTATGCTTCCCATTCCCTACAGACTGGAGTACTGCAGGGATGGGAAGTGTGCTTCTGAGAGAAAACAAAATTCACACATTTTTTATGTGAGGTATTGTGTATTAGCCATTATATATGGTACTATTTCTTTGAATGCTGGTATACTGTATACCTCCTTAGGCACCATGTTTGCATTCAGTTTTGGTTCCTGTTCAGAACAACAAAGTTACCATGTAAGTGACTTTGTGTTCTTTCTCCTGGGTTAGTCTAATCTTTCCATCACTGTGAAACTGCCCACTTTGAATGTCCAGTGAGCTTTATGGTCGTCCTTTTGGGTAAACTGAGATATTATTCAACCAGACAGTAACAGAAGCCAATCAGCTTGCTTTCTAGTGCAGTTCAAAGCAAAGTGAGTTGAATTTTTAATACTTTGAGGATCTCCTTTATCTCTGTTCTTCCCTGTATGTGAGATTGGTAGCACTGTGATACGTTTGCAGGAAAAACCTTTTGTGTAAGTGTTGGATGCTTAACAGTTTTATACTGAAGTCTTGTGATAGTCATAATTACAGTAATTGTAAATAGTAGTATTGCTGCATGGTAAAACTTAATGCAGGTCTTTCTCTTTAATACTGCAAAAATGTTCTTAGCATTACGTTTGTCTTCAGTTTAGTAGGCAGTATTTCATAATATAGTACTAACTTCTGGGTCTGTTCATCTGTGCAGCATTTAAAGTTTCCAAATGATCACAGAATATTGTTCTCTGCAAACAGAGCTTGATGCTTTAGATCTTACCAACACATATATCATGCAAACTTTGTTTTGCCTTAATTTAAAAAAAGATAATTCAAAGTCAAATTTGAGTCTTTGTAACAGGTGAGGCACTAAGGGTTTCCATAATGCCCCCTAGTGGTTACTTTGACCCTGCCTGGCTTTTGCCCTTGCCTCCCAGGGTCCCACCTTGGTTCCTGGCCTGCCATGTCTTGTTGTAAAATATGATGAAGGGAGGCTGCCCTCAGAGGCTGGTGAGCCCAAGGTGCTCCATACCAGTTCCTTAGGTCCTAATGTCCTACCCACCTTAGAGGCTAAATTCTTGGTCTCCTCCTGCCCCTACATTCATGCCCATGCCTCGCAGATGTTACTCTATACACTGTTCCATCCCCTGTAGAGGCCTCAGCCCTTTTGCCTTTAGTCTTCCTTTCCTCTGGCTGCATGCCTCCAGTCCTGGCCAACCTATTCGGGCCCAGCTCTTTTAGCTTCAGCCTTATCTGTTCTCTGTGTGTCTGAGCCCCTGGCCCTCGCTCTAGGCCAGCCCTTAACCCTCAGGGTGCCTGATCCCAGGCTGGGCTGCCCTCGCTGTCTCTGCCCTCAGTCCTCTGGTCCCTCACACCAGACTGGGTTGCTTGCTTTTCTCCTCTGGTCCTTGATCCTGAGCCAGGCCACTTGCCTCTGCAGCCCTCTGGTCCTTTACCCCATCTTGGCTGCCCTGTGCTGTGTGCTCTACCAGGAACCCTTCTGTGGCTTCCAGACCTCCCCGGTAGCCACTGTCAAGTCCACTGGTGTAAAGCCTAATTCACAACATAAAGAAAAGCACAACAGGAGCCTAACTCTGGGTCATTAGGGAGCAACTCCAGGGAACAACTCGGGTGCCTGCTAGTCCATTTACTACATGCATCTCCCTGAGGAGCACCTCGCCCTTCAGCCTGCATGGCCAGATTTCCTGCTTTGTCTCAGGCCCCAGGTTTATATGCCTGGAAGCTACACCCCCTTTTGGTCACACTGGGTTTTCCCTGTCAATCAGCTTATAAATATATCAGGAGAGAGCATCAGGGGCTAGGCCAGGGGCGGACAGTTATTTTGGGCAGAGGGCCGCTTACCCAGTTTTGGCAGTCTGTCAAGGGCTGCATGAGTAGCCCCACCCCTTGACAGGTGCCCTGCCCCCTGGTCACCATCTTGGGACCAGTGTCCCAGGGCCAGCACTGGTGAGGCCCAAAGCAAGGCACAGGCTGGCAGGGGTCTTTGGAGCTGGGCTGGGCTGCACCAGCAGGGAGAGGGGGCAGCTGGCCCAGCTCGATAGAGCCCCTGCCAGCTGGGACCCTGCGCTCCTGCCACCCTGCTCTGGGCCTTGCCAGCACTGGCCCCGGGACACCGGTGTGGGCCCTGTGCTCCCGCACCTGCTCACTCCCAGTGCCCCCCAGCCCCGTGGTACAGGCAGGGGGCAGGGAACAGCCCCAACCCCCTCCTC